CCCCAAACTAAAAACCCTTAAACCCTAAACCCCGGCAGTTCAGGGCTTTGGGGCTTAGGGTTTTACGGTGGATGCTTTAAACCGGCGTCGGAGCAAGAAGCTCGAGAGAACCGTGGGGCCCTGAGGGTGTGAATGTAGGGGCTTAGGGTTAGTTTAGGGGCTTAGGTTTAGGGTTTTTGGGTTTAGGGTTTAGGGGTTTAGCGCTTAGGGGTTTGGGGTTTAGGCGGCTTCGGGTTTAGGATTTAGGAGAAGAGGGGTTTGGGGTGTAAGTAGTCATTTGGGGTATGTTCCGGCATAGATGTGTACGGGCTCCGGCAGTTAGAGTAGGGTTTGGGGCAGTTTTGGAACGTATCATGGCGTGATCATTACAGCTATTCAGACTTCTGTAGTGGTCGAGCACTTCGGAATTTCACCCTAAGACAACGGGAGCATGAGCCTGCAGCACGGTCCTGGTCTCGAACGCGGCTTCGGTTTCCGGCTAAACCCTAAACTCTTAACCCTAAACCCTGAACCCTAAACCCTAAGCCCTAAACCCTAAACCCAAAGCCCTAAACCCTAAACCCTCATCCCTGAAAGATAGGAGATACTCGGACATAGCCGTCGTACCGGCTGGTCGGGATCCCGAAATTCCGCAGTACTCGACCCAAGACGGCCGCTCTACGGATGAGCACAAAATCCCTGCTCCCTCGACCTTCTTGGTGCCTGAGTCCTGAACCATGGAAAAGATTCGACATCGTTCTGTTCACCTTCTTCCGCCGAGGAAGGAGGGAAAACGCCTCATGGGATCCGTTTTGAGCCCCAAACCTAAAACCTGAAGCCCGAAAATCCTCAACCCTTAGCCCTAAACCCCCAAACCCTAAACCCCAAAAACCCTAAACCCTAAACCCCAAAAACCCTAAAACCCTGAACCCTAAAGCCCCAAACCCTCAAATCCTGAAGTCGAAAGCCCTGGAGCATTTTAGCTCTTGAGCCCTAGGCAGCAGAACTTCCAGACTCGCGTCAGCGAGATCCTGGGGAAGAAGCAGCAGAAGCTGTGGGAGATCCAGGCAGCTATGGGCAAATTTGGGGTTTAGGGTTTGGATTTATGGGTAATGAGTCTAGGGATAGGGTTTAGGGTTTAAAGGGTGGAGGGTCGAAGGAGTAGGGCTTCAAGGGTTTAGGGTGTACGATGTATGGGTTATGGGTTTAGTGGTTAGGGCATGTAGGGTTTAGCCCTTTTGAGGTTCAGGGTCTAAGGCTTTGGTTGGCTTAGGGTTTGGGGCACAGGGATTTTGGGGTTCTGTGTCTTGGGCTTCAGGTTTTAGGTGTAGGGCTTACATTAGAACCATTTGTCTGTAGGGCCGTAAAATAAACCTTAATATGATTTCTTAAGGGAATCTACAAAACTAGGTTTTGGTGGTCCGGGTAGGGAGTAGGTTCGCAAGAGCTGTGGGTGTTTCCGTCGGGTGGAGGATGCATAGAAGATCATGGAACTCTATCTAGAGTCATACCTGAACCTACCAAAACCTATTTTTTAGTAGGTTCTTAGTACAAACGCCCATATGGAATTTATGGGGAGCCCTACAAACCCTAAACTCTGAACCCTAAACCGAAAGTAGGTTTGGTAGGTTAAGGTACACAATAAGGAAACAACAGCGTCAATCACTTGTAGCCCCAATCGAGGTATGTATCTGGTCGGTGTAGGGGTTTAGGTGTAGGGTTTGGGGGAAACCAGGTCCCCAGACCCCCAAAACCTTAACCTAAACCCCAAACACTAAACTCAAGCCCCACTAGCCGTAAGCCCTAAAACCCTGAACCAGCTACGAATACCTGCCTTTTTGTAGGGTCCCTAGAACTTCTATACTCGGGTTCATGAAAGAATCTACAAAAGAGGAGGTTATTGTAGTTTTGGGTGCCCGAAATGCACTGAGCCGGCCCCTAAACCCCAAACCCCTAAGCCCTGAACCCCTAAATCCGAAAGCCTAAACCTAAACCCCGAAACCTTAAACCTGCAAGTAATGATAATCGTGAACCCTAAACCCTGGCTGTCCCAGGCGCGAGTGGACAGCGGGAAGCGGGAAGTTCACTGCGCCAAGGCAGATTCTCGGTGTTCGCTGGCGGCTTCAGGTTTTCAAGGGTCACGGGATAGGGTTAAGAGGGTTTGGGTTTAGGGTTCAGGGTTTAGGGCTCAGGGTTTAGAGTTCAGGGCCCAGGGTTCAGGGTTTGAGGGATAGGGCTTAGGGTTGAGCTAGGTTCGGAAAAGGTGCGCTGTGGGCCAAAATTTTCCACTTAACGTCTTGAACATAGGCAGTGCGTTTCAGCTTTAGAGTTTCGAATTCAGGGTTTAGGGTTTCGAATTCAGGGTTTAGGGTTTAGGGTTTAGGGTTTAGGGTTTAGGTTTAGGTTTAGGGTTCAGGGATTTGGGTCACTTGAACCGCTCCAGAAATGGCCTGAGGGTGGGATGATCCCCAAGTAAGAGCCCTCATGTCAGGGATCCTGAATCCTACCTGCCTTCATCCCATCTGTTGAGGTCACCAAAGCTTTGAGGGTTTAGGGTTTAGGGTTTAGGGTTTAGGGTTTAGGGTTTAGGGTTTAGGGTTTAGGCTTAACGTAGGGGCCTAGATAAGTACGTTTGCTATTTTTTGGGGGGTCTTGATTATAAGTATAGAATAATGGGCCACCAAGACCCTATTTTCATAATTATTAAGGCCCCTATATTAGCGAAGTACTGTGGTGCTTTTGTTGTGGGGCTTGCTTCCTTCCAGGAAGAGCTATGCTTACGCGTTTTTCAGTTTTCCTCGTTCAGAAATTCCGCATACAAAGCACATGCGAAGGCGAGCTTCCTAGGCTTGCAGCGGCCATGGAACATGGTACT